TCTTCATTTCTACCCAGAATGTAGCTTCTATCAGTTTAACTACCATGGTATTTTTATGGAGAACCAACAGTGTGGAGTAAGATTCAATAGACTTTATTTATTCGCTTGAAGATAGGGAGGGTAAGTTAATGGATTGGGTTGTTAATTCGAGTCGATTGAAATGGCTCCACATGTGTTATACATGCCAAGCCACCACCTGACTTAGGGATGTGTAAACTCCCTGGTTGTGGTCGTCGGTACGCTGGCTGGCTGGATTCAACATAGAACTTGGCACCGAAGTGCAGCAGTTCGAGTTGCCACGTTCCAAAGAGCTCACAAAGGTAGATAAGAAAATGAGTGAATAGAATTTTGACAAGTATAAGAGTGAAACAGAATGAGTAATGGTGGAAAGGAATATGAAAGATTACAGAGACTGAATACAGCTGCGTAAACCATTGACAACGATTTTGAGCCATGTCACCTATTGTCTCCAGCCATTGATTCTTAGAGTCCCGAGGGCGGGCCCCAACCCGGAAGTCTGCATCTCCCTACTTGACTCAGTTAAACTGTCATGGATTGATGAGGCCATGTTTTTGTTTGGCCACCACTTACTCTTTTCCAACCTGCACGTATATCAGCTAGTAATGCCCGTCGTGGGAGGCGATGGTTAGGCATGCGCAGCACGTGACCTAGCCATCTCAATCTATGTAACTTTGTAGCCTCTTCTATTGATTTTCCCTCTTTGCCCAACACTCTACGCCTAACGTCAACATTACTTACCTTATTATGCCACCTAACGTGAGAAAGAGATCGTAAACATCTATGATCAAAAACAGTCAACCTTTTCATGTCTACCGCTCTCAATGGCCACGTCTCACCACCATAGAGAAGGACGGAGCGAACTGCTGAGCAGTACACACGTCCCTTGGTTGATGGCCGGATGTCACACCTACGCCAGAGACGGTGTAAGTTAGCGAAAGCAGCCCGAGCTTTTTGGATCCGTGCTGAGATTTCGTCACCAATCAATGCGTTGGTGCTGATACAACTTCCCAAATAGGTGAAGTGATCAACATGTTCTATCACTTCACTCCCTATCACTAAGCTAGGGGTAGACGTAGTCCAGTCCTGTAGCAGCATCTTACATTTTACAGGGGCGAATCGCATGCCAAACATACGAAGATTTCTGCTGAAGGTGTTCAGAAGACTCTGCATTTTGTCAGCATCCTCCCCTAACAGGACTATGTCATCTGCATATTCTAAGTCCATAAGACTATTCCCTGGTAACAAGTCGATTCCTAAGTCGTTAAGTTCAGTTAAGGACACTTCCATTAGCATATCTATGATGAAGTTAAACAGGAATGGGGAAAGTGAACATCCTTGACGGACACCACTGGTTGTTATCAATTCAGATGACAATTCCCCATCAGCCCTTACATGGCTACGTGAGTTTGAGTAGAGTGCCTTGATTAGTGCAATGTACTTTCTTGTCACTCCCTTCACAGTCAAACATTGCCATAGTACCTTTCGATCCACGGAGTCAAAGGCAGCCTTCAAGTCAAGAAATATGGCAATTGTTGGACGCCTAAAAGTGTGTCTATGTTCTAGGATCTGTCGGAGAGTGAAGATATGATCTATGCACCCTCTACCTGGCCTAAAGCCCGCTTGATTTTCCTTCGTTTGTTCCTCCCGAGTTCGGCTTAGTCTGTGCGCTAAGAATCAAAGACTGGAGACTTGCTGATAAGGTCTAACATCTTTGTCAATAATGCAGATGCATTCACTGTTTGTAATCTCTTATATCCACTAAACCCTCATGTTTTTCGTGTTGCTCTTCTTTCTCTCGTACATTTCTGCTCATTACAGTTATTCTGAAGTTTCATTTTCTTTCCTCTAGCTTTATGTGACTGCTGCACTTCTATGCTAAGCCTCATGCCGAAACTAAGTCAGCTTAAAGCATAAAGATGCACATATCTGTCTGGTTCAGCATATGAGTTGTTGATTACCTAATAGATTCATTTATTTCTATATACCACCAATATTCACCACTATCATATCTTTCTCTTTTGTTTTAGATTGTTGGAGGTGAGGATAAACAAAATACGGTGAATTTAATCCGTGATGCTATACGAGATAGCGAAATTTTCCTGACCTCCAAATTCCTTTGCTATCCTTTACTTGAAAATTAATAATAGTCTTTCTGTACTTTCATCTCTACAACTGTATGACAATATCAATATTAAATTATTTATATTGCTTCTTACCCTTTTAGCTTTCACTGAATTCGGAGATGTTTCATAGATCCTTTTTTATAAAAATGAACTGCAAATGGTATTTTGTGCGTATTAACTCTGTTGGGGAATAACGTTTTTGTAATTGACTATGATTTAGGTGTTAGGTCGCAGTCTCTGTTTTCGTGAACATTAGGTTGCGTAAAACGAGTAATATACAAGTACCAATCATTCCGGTTACATTTCACTTACCAGACGAGTGCGGTTTGAATATCGACCAACTGTCTTGCCTGTTTAAAGCTGAGATCATCAGTGGAGAATCCGAACCGAATTAAGTTCACAGAAAAGTCACAATAATTATGATTGGTTGAATTCAGTTACTTTATTCGGGTATATTATTCGCTGCTGAACAGTTTTTGTCTAACTATTGTGTGAAAAGTTCCAGTCAAAAGCTATGAAAATAAGATCACAACTGCTGACGTTTGATTTGAAAAAATTACTGTTTTGGCTAGGAAACGGATAGTAAGATGCCACTCGTGATCATCTGTATCATCAAATTATTTGAATTACTCCGCCTTATCGGGATCCAACGCTGATCAAAACTACAGACGAGTGGGATATTAATTAACTGTGTAGAAAGTTTACAGGACTAACGGAATTGTTCTTTTATAAGAAATACAACGTTGGAAGTATTAACAAATACTTACGGGTTTACGACTCGCAGCGATGCACCTGCGCTGATTTTTAGCCTCTACAACAAGGTGCGTCAAACCTCAACATCTACGAGTACCGTGGGTTAGAGTAGCAGTTAGTGACTCAACAGAGCTTATATAAGGTGTCATCAACATGCAATACATCCACGAAGGAAATCGTTTAGGCAACGACAACAAAGAAATATGGCGTTCTGATCAAATGTGCAACAGTCAGGACAGTATGCCGTAAAGTATTCCAGGACGAACAATCTTGTGGGTGAGGTATGGGATTTAAAAACCCCAGAAATCACGCAGGCTTCTGGTTCGTACTAGGATGTATTAGCAACGTTTCTAGTCTTCAAAAGGATCTGCGGCACACTGTCCGCCATTTGATACATTTCGTGATCCACTCGATCGCAACGGCACGGCAATTACCGGCACTGACGAAACTCCGGGAGAGAACAACAGGTTGATCAATAAATATTTGAGACAAATTTGCATTTCTACGCATCTCTAGCTGTTACGAAATCTACGTCAGTTGCCAACCTATGCGCCAGTACCTCTGCTCCTAGCTACATACCATATTCTCAGCCTTACTTTTCACATCCTCTTTCTCGGGTATATTGATAGTTTGTCTCTACTGTTTCGAAGCGTGGTGACCTTATCCATACAACTATGCTGAGCAGCCAGCCCCTCAGTGACCCAATGACATATCCAGGATGGCTACCTACACCTTACTTTTTATTTGTATATTGTGTTGAAGTTCGATACATGGAGCGAGAAGTTAGCTTATGGGATTCTTTCAGACACCTAATAAATAAGCCTTTGAGGAATAATTCTAGTGACATTTATGAACAGTCAAAGTGCCTCAACCACCTAGAATTAATAAAATCAGGCTTTAAACATACTACGTCCGAAATTCCGTCAAAAAATGTCCCTATAACAATCCAAGAGACAATGCCGCCTCTCATTTTCACTACTACGCACTGCTTTAGTAACACTAACCAAACACCACTGATATAATCCAGTCCACAACAACCACATTACAGGTCTTTCCACGATTACAAAACTGACGATCATTAACATCAAGCGATATTTACTTTATAACAGCCCACACCTATCGAAGTGGACAAATATTCGTTGTCCACTACGATACGATGATATGCAAAAAACTGGTTGTTACAAACACTTACATGTCACATAAGCCTGCACATAAAAAGCAACATTACAATAACTTATCTCAAGACAGGCGACATTCACCATTACAACGTGGAGCTTACATAGAAAGTTACTACAAGGGAAGCTCGAAGTTATAATGTAGGAAAATCACCAGAAGACCCCACTTAGCATACCAATGGATGACCTGTCACCTCGGTACTATTCAACAACACGAAACACAAAGGGTTGTAGCAACTAACACGTTGACACTCAAGAGGTCATCTACTGTGGCCAAATCTCACATCTTCTAAAGACTGTGAGAAACGGTTTAGTCATGAAGAGTATTGAGAGTAAGGCAATAACCAATCCGCATCACCACAGATTGCACAAAATATTGTAGGCACATCATGGGTGAGACTGCTGGCCACAACATTAGAGCATGGTGAGAGACGAACAGGCTTACGATCAGTGACACCCAATGAAGCGAGTTCCGACTGCTGAGACAGATAGGCACATGAACTACTCTGGTCAGATGCATAGTTGTGTACGCGAACTGAAGCTGGCAACTCGTATTTAGAAATGAGTGCGAAATAGGTCCAAATTCAAACTCGAGGACAGCACGACGCATATGCATCGTCTAAGGACGAACATTTTGGAACAAACCAAACAGACACTAGACCTACCGAATACGAAGCTCTACGTCTCGCTTTCGGAACTGTTGCAGTTCAGCAATTTCGTTCATCCACATCGCCTATGTTCGGATATGACCGGAAGTAATGATTTGGGCTGCATCATCGCTGAATGCCTTCACTGCTTCCTCAGTGCAATACGCATCCAATTTTGTTTCGGAAACTGCTGGAACCCAGTGCAGGAGACGCCGACTGACTGTAAGCCCTAGTACTACTCAGGAGTGAGTTACGGAACATGAAACCATTAAATGTAAAAAGCCATTTTATGCAGAAAGTTTAGTATGCAGGTAAAATAACATCGACTTGAGCGGTCTACATTAAATGCGGTTATTCATCAGAATCTCGATCCCGAGCACCGTGGTCACCATTGCTTCTACCATCCATTTCCTCATCTGATCGTCTTGGCGTGCCAGACTCACTGCGGTGTGACATTGAACGCGATCGAGATGCAGAACGGGAGCGTGTACGAGAACGACCAGGAGACCTTGAATCAACTGTACGCGACCTGCTTCTTGAGCGTGAGTGTGTAGCAGAACGTGACCTGGAGCGCCGATCTAAATCATTCTTCATGCTGCCTTCTCTACCATTACAACTTGGAGAGCGAGAACCAGCACCCTAAATGACATTACTGGTTAGGAATAAGTTGAACTTACCAATGAGTGTTTGTCACTGTGCTGAGAAAGAGATCTTGCATGAGAACGGTCTGACCTTGAACGATGCGACGGACTCCTAGACTCTCTGTCGATGGAATTTTCCCTGGAGCGTCTGTGGGAATCGTGACGAGATTCCGACCGGTGTTCATCACTTGAATGAGACCTGTCGCGTCGATGTCTTGGGCTTCGGGATTCCCTTCTGCGATAGGAATCTCGGCTTCGCGATCTGTGGGAATGTCGGCGACTGTCAGATCGCGACCTGTAAGAACCTGATCGAGATCTCTGGCCTGGACGATCTTCATACACACGAAGCCTGCGCCCGTAAAGTTCATAACCATCAAACTTCTCAATCGCCTCCTTCATATCCGCATAAGCAGCAAACTCAACAATTCTAATAAGGTATATTAAGAAGAGTATACAACTTACCCATCATTCTTTGCCGATTTGTGAGCATCTGCATAGGTGACCTCCCCAGCCTTACGCATCAAATCTTTTAGATCCTAAACGAAAGAATAAACGGCTCAAAGACTTTTTCAACGAGTAGATCAGTTAACATGTTTAAAAACTACTAATTTGGGTTAAGCTAGCCTAGTACTTAAAAACGCGCGAGTAATTTACCTCGCGTTTTGATCTGACCACAGTACGAAACCGCGTTACCACACACTCGGCCGGACGACCGCTGGACGGCGCGACCAGAAACAACCCTGGGCGAATGACCATGGTACGGAAACGACCAATCCTACGCGTCCTACGCCACCCGAAACGACCGAACGTCAACGAGCGGTAACTGAATTCGAGATAACAGGCAATTAGTTACTTTTTTGGGGCTTACAAACAGTCAAACGACAATTTCTTACCTGCCAGCTTACACGCGATGACAGATTCTCAACAATAACGCGGTACTCCGTGCGAGTTGGTGGGCCGTACCTGCTGTGACAGATGAGGGAATCTGGACAAGGTAACTCACCGATCACGACCACTACCACCACCTCCTCCACCACCACCACCTCCACCAGCTCTTCTACTGCCACCTCTGGTGCCTGGTGGAAGACGGGCGTGTTCAACGATCAGACGCTCGCCCCTTAGATCTCTACCATGAAGGTCGTAAACAGCATCATCTGCATCCTTCTCATTGTCAAACTCGACGAATCCATATCCATTCTTTAGAACGATATCTCTCAACCTGCCATATCCTTTGAAGAACCGTTCGATATCCCTCTCAGTACATCTAGGAGGTATCCGACCAACGTACACTCTCGACATCTTGAACTTAACAGAGTGAGGCGGCCATCAAACGTTGATTCAAACAAACGGTTTAAACACTCAATGTTGATAGACTCTCTTTGCAGATTTTATTTCTTCAATTAACTATTGAATTATATTCATTCCTCGCTACAATCAAATACTCCCGGAGGATTTCTGCTGAAAATGTAGTGTTGACAGACAATTTAGCCTTCCAAACGAATCACAAACATATTAGAAGGAATGATTGCTTAGCCTGCCACTACGCCTAAAGTCAGTGAAACTCTGGCTTTTTGCACATGAATCTGAGCGTTATGAGGCAAACGACCAAAAGTCAAGTTAGCAATAACCCGTTCTTTGGACTCGTGTTGAAACTGTAAGTAGATGAGGAGATGAAATGGCTTGAAATTACTGTCTAATAACGGCACTCTGAACCTTGGAAGCTCTTGAGCATCGATAGTTCAATAAATGATCTGCCATATTCCAGTTCTGACTTTGGTCCGCCTCTTCTAAGAACGATATTCGACTCAAACTTTAAAATGTGTTGAGGTCAAACACTCGGATGTTGAGAGTGTTGTGGGCCATTACGGAGTCACTTGTGGGTTCCCTATACCAATAGTGAACAAGTGTAGCACTACATGTTTTGCGTCCCACTCACCCAACTAATCAACCAAACCATCTCTAGACGTGCTGAAAATTGTCTGTCTGTTGACGCCTAGCGACCAGAGTTTTGAACAAGGTAGTATAAGGCCATCAAAACCCTTGTGGACACGCCTGTGGACGCATTGCCTGAACATGCTTTCCTAAGGCATAAGTGCCAGACCAGCATGTAAGGCGTCGCTGTTACAGTCAGCATAAGATATGCAGTGATGATAGAATAACATACTCAGGGGCTTCTGCAGTGGCGACGACTCCATCTCTGCCTATTCAGGCCTTGTGTGTGGCCAGCAAATTGCTGCTGAATAACTTCATTGGACTTATCACAATCCAATCTAGCTTCATCGTATGTCTAACGTTGGAAACTGCTCCGACCATTGTGTCGAAATAGCTTATATCATATCTCCTGTGGACACTGTCGTATCCTTATTAAGAAGAACGTTGGAGGAGGCATATGGTCGTCGTAGCTCAAGAAGGAGTCCTAGTTCTGAGCTCTAGAGGAACCCTGTCTCCAAATATGAGAGTGGACTAGAAAGCAGTGGGGTGATGGGAATGATGGTTGACTGGGAGGCATGATGTTCATCTCCTGCGTCCACTAGTGGTACTTTTCCATCCACCCACTGAAGTGGGCGTGCGTCAAAACTGTTTTCGTCTCGATAAGATATGGTTCCAGCTTCAGACGATTCCTAACCGAGCATCAATGAGGTCCTGGAACGGGGCGATAGTCCTCAGTTGCATTCCCGAAGTTGATCAGAGGTATCTTCAAACTTACTGACCGTCAAGTACTTCGATTTTCCTACGATCAAAGTAATTTGTAGGAAGACGTGTGGTTGCCTCTAAATGCTTATGATTAGCATGTAGGGAACAGCATTGACGGACGAATTTGACAAAAGCACATGCTCCTGGAAGTTCTCGCGGGATTGACTACAATTGCTCGCTACATATCCGTACACTCCCATAGCTTCTCCAGACTCAGTTAGGGAAACGAAGAAAATCCCAGTGTGACCAAAGACTTTCTGCAGGGGTTGGCAGTAGATAACCTCCTTGAGTTCACCAGATACAAAACGAAATACATGTACCGTTGTATGCAAACGATTGGACTGACACGGAAAGTTACTACAAGGGAAGCTCGAAGTTATAATGTAGGAAAATCACCAGAAGACCCCACTTAGCATACCAATGGATGACCTGTCACCTCGGTACTATTCAACAACACGAAACACAAAGGGTTGTAGCAGCTAACACGTTGACACTCAAGAGGTCATCTACTGTGGCCAAATCTCACATCTTCTAAAGACTGTGAGAAACGGTTTAGTCATGAAGAGTATTGAGAGTAAGGCAATAACCAATCCGCATCACCACAGATTGCACAAAATATTGTAGGCACATCATGGGTGAGACTGCTGGCCACAACATTAGAGCATGGTGAGAGACGAACAGGCTTACGATCAGTGACACCCAATGAAGCGAGTTCCGACTGCTGAGACAGATAGGCACATGAACTACTCTGGTCAGATGCATAGTTGTGTACGCGAACTGAAGCTGGCAACTCGTATTTAGAAATGAGTGCGAAATAGGTCCAAATTCAAACTCGAGGACAGCACGACGCATATGCATCGTCTAAGGACGAACATTTTGGAACAAACCAAACAGACACTAGACCTACCGAATACGAAGCTCTACGTCTCGCTTTCGGAACTGTTGCAGTTCAGCAATTTCGTTCATCCACATCGCCTATGTTCGGATATGACCGGAAGTAATGATTTGGGCTGCATCATCGCTGAATGCCTTCACTGCTTCCTCAGTGCAATACGCATCCAATTTTGTTTCGGAAACTGCTGGAACCCAGTGCAGGAGACGCCGACTGACTGTAAGCCCTAGTACTACTCAGGAGTGAGTTACGGAACATGAAACCATTAAATGTAAAAAGCCATTTTATGCAGAAAGTTTAGTATGCAGGTAAAATAACATCGACTTGAGCGGTCTACATTAAATGCGGTTATTCATCAGAATCTCGATCCCGAGCACCGTGGTCACCATTGCTTCTACCATCCATTTCCTCATCTGATCGTCTTGGCGTGCCAGACTCACTGCGGTGTGACATTGAACGCGATCGAGATGCAGAACGGGAGCGTGTACGAGAACGACCAGGAGACCTTGAATCAACTGTACGCGACCTGCTTCTTGAGCGTGAGTGTGTAGCAGAACGTGACCTGGAGCGCCGATCTAAATCATTCTTCATGCTGCCTTCTCTACCATTACAACTTGGAGAGCGAGAACCAGCACCCTAAATGACATTACTGGTTAGGAATAAGTTGAACTTACCAATGAGTGTTTGTCACTGTGCTGAGAAAGAGATCTTGCATGAGAACGGTCTGACCTTGAACGATGCGACGGACTCCTAGACTCTCTGTCGATGGAATTTTCCCTGGAGCGTCTGTGGGAATCGTGACGAGATTCCGACCGGTGTTCATCACTTGAATGAGACCTGTCGCGTCGATGTCTTGGGCTTCGGGATTCCCTTCTGCGATAGGAATCTCGGCTTCGCGATCTGTGGGAATGTCGGCGACTGTCAGATCGCGACCTGTAAGAACCTGATCGAGATCTCTGGCCTGGACGATCTTCATACACACGAAGCCTGCGCCCGTAAAGTTCATAACCATCAAACTTCTCAATCGCCTCCTTCATATCCGCATAAGCAGCAAACTCAACAATTCTAATAAGGTATATTAAGAAGAGTATACAACTTACCCATCATTCTTTGCCGATTTGTGAGCATCTGCATAGGTGACCTCCCCAGCCTTACGCATCAAATCTTTTAGATCCTAAACGAAAGAATAAACGGCTCAAAGACTTTTTCAACGAGTAGATCAGTTAACATGTTTAAAAACTACTAATTTGGGTTAAGCTAGCCTAGTACTTAAAAACGCGCGAGTAATTTACCTCGCGTTTTGATCTGACCACAGTACGAAACCGCGTTACCACACACTCGGCCGGACGACCGCTGGACGGCGCGACCAGAAACAACCCTGGGCGAATGACCATGGTACGGAAACGACCAATCCTACGCGTCCTACGCCACCCGAAACGACCGAACGTCAACGAGCGGTAACTGAATTCGAGATAACAGGCAATTAGTTACTTTTTTGGGGCTTACAAACAGTCAAACGACAATTTCTTACCTGCCAGCTTACACGCGATGACAGATTCTCAACAATAACGCGGTACTCCGTGCGAGTTGGTGGGCCGTACCTGCTGTGACAGATGAGGGAATCTGGACAAGGTAACTCACCGATCACGACCACTACCACCACCTCCTCCACCACCACCACCTCCACCAGCTCTTCTACTGCCACCTCTGGTGCCTGGTGGAAGACGGGCGTGTTCAACGATCAGACGCTCGCCCCTTAGATCTCTACCATGAAGGTCGTAAACAGCATCATCTGCATCCTTCTCATTGTCAAACTCGACGAATCCATATCCATTCTTTAGAACGATATCTCTCAACCTGCCATATCCTTTGAAGAACCGTTCGATATCCCTCTCAGTACATCTAGGAGGTATCCGACCAACGTACACTCTCGACATCTTGAACTTAACAGAGTGAGGCGGCCATCAAACGTTGATTCAAACAAACGGTTTAAACACTCAATGTTGATAGACTCTCTTTGCAGATTTTATTTCTTCAATTAACTATTGAATTATATTCATTCCTCACTACAATCAAATACTCCCGGAGGATTTCTGCTGAAAATGTAGTGTTGACAGACAATTTAGCCTTCCAAACGAATCACAAACATATTAGAAGGAATGATTGCTTAGCCTGCCACTACGCCTAAAGTCAGTGAAACTCTGGCTTTTTGCACATGAATCTGAGCGTTATGAGGCAAACGACCAAAAGTCAAGTTAGCAATAACCCGTTCTTTGGACTCGTGTTGAAACTGTAAGTAGATGAGGAGATGAAATGGCTTGAAATTACTGTATAATAACGGCACTCTGAACCTTGGAAGCTCTTGAGCATCGATAGTTCAATAAATGATCTGCCATATTCCAGTTCTGACTTTGGTCCGCCTCTTCTAAGAACGATATTCGACTCAAACTTTAAAATGTGTTGAGGTCAAACACTCGGATGTTGAGAGTGTTGTGGGCCATTACGGAGTCACTTGTGGGTTCCCTGTACCAATAGTGAACAAGTGTAGCACTACATGTTTTGCGTCCCACTCACCCAACTAATCAACCAAACCATCTCTAGACGTGCTGAAAATTGTCTGTCTGTTGACGCCTAGCGACCAGAGTTTTGAACAAGGTAGTATAAGGCCATCAAAACCCTTGTGGACACGCCTGTGGACGCATTGCCTGAACATGCTTTCCTAAGGCATAAGTGCCAGACCAGCATGTAAGGCGTCGCTGTTACAGTCAGCATAAGATATGCAGTGATGATAGAATAACATACTCAGGGGCTTCTGCAGTGGCGACGACTCCATCTCTGCCTATTCAGGCCTTGTGTGTGGCCAGCAAATTGCTGCTGAATAACTTCATTGGACTTATCACAATCCAATCTAGCTTCATCGTATGTCTAACGTTGGAAACTGCTCCGACCATTGTGTCGAAATAGCTTATATCATATCTCCTGTGGACACTGTCGTATCCTTATTAAGAAGAACGTTGGAGGAGGCATATGGTCGTCGTAGCTCAAGAAGGAGTCCTAGTTCTGAGCTCTAGAGGAACCCTGTCTCCAAATATGAGAGTGGACTAGAAAGCAGTGGGGTGATGGGAATGATGGTTGACTGGGAGGCATGATGTTCATCTCCTGCGTCCACTAGTGGTACTTTTCCATCCACCCACTGAAGTGGGCGTGCGTCAAAACTGTTTTCGTCTCGATAAGATATGGTTCCAGCTTCAGACGATTCCTAACCGAGCATCAATGAGGTCCTGGAACGGGGCGATAGTCCTCAGTTGCATTCCCGAAGTTGATCAGAGGTATCTTCAAACTTACTGACCGTCAAGTACTTCGATTTTCCTACGATCAAAGTAATTTGTAGGAAGACGTGTGGTTGCCTCTAAATGCTTATGATTAGCATGTAGGGAACAGCATTGACGGACGAATTTGACAAAAGCACATGCTCCTGGAAGTTCTCGCGGGATTGACTACAATTGCTCGCTACATATCCGTACACTCCCATAGCTTCTCCAGACTCAGTTAGGGAAACGAAGAAAATCCCAGTGTGACCAAAGACTTTCTGCAGGGGTTGGCAGTAGATAACCTCCTTGAGTTCACCAGATACAAAACGAAATACATGTACCGTTGTATGCAAACGATTGGACTGACACGGAAAGTTACTACAAGGGAAGCTCGAAGTTATAATGTAGGAAAATCACCAGAAGACCCCACTTAGCATACCAATGGATGACCTGTCACCTCGGTACTATTCAACAACACGAAACACAAAGGGTTGTAGCAACTAACACGTTGACACTCAAGAGGTCATCTACTGTGGCCAAATCTCACATCTTCTAAAGACTGTGAGAAACGGTTTAGTCATGAAGAGTATTGAGAGTAAGGCAATAACCAATCCGCATCACCACAGATTGCACAAAATATTGTAGGCACATCATGGGTGAGACTGCTGGCCACAACATTAGAGCATGGTGAGAGACGAACAGGCTTACGATCAGTGACACCCAATGAAGCGAGTTCCGACTGCTGAGACAGATAGGCACATGAACTACTCTGGTCAGATGCATAGTTGTGTACGCGAACTGAAGCTGGCAACTCGTATTTAGAAATGAGTGCGAAATAGGTCCAAATTCAAACTCGAGGACAGCACGACGCATATGCATCGTCTAAGGACGAACATTTTGGAACAAACCAAACAGACACTAGACCTACCGAATACGAAGCTCTACGTCTCGCTTTCGGAACTGTTGCAGTTCAGCAATTTCGTTCATCCACATCGCCTATGTTCGGATATGACCGGAAGTAATGATTTGGGCTGCATCATCGCTGAATGCCTTCACTGCTTCCTCAGTGCAATACGCATCCAATTTTGTTTCGGAAACTGCTGGAACCCAGTGCAGGAGACGCCGACTGACTGTAAGCCCTAGTACTACTCAGGAGTGAGTTACGGAACATGAAACCATTAAATGTAAAAAGCCATTTTATGCAGAAAGTTTAGTATGCAGGTAAAATAACATCGACTTGAGCGGTCTACATTAAATGCGGTTATTCATCAGAATCTCGATCCCGAGCACCGTGGTCACCATTGCTTCTACCATCCATTTCCTCATCTGATCGTCTTGGCGTGCCAGACTCACTGCGGTGTGACATTGAACGCGATCGAGATGCAGAACGGGAGCGTGTACGAGAACGACCAGGAGACCTTGAATCAACTGTACGCGACCTGCTTCTTGAGCGTGAGTGTGTAGCAGAACGTGACCTGGAGCGCCGATCTAAATCATTCTTCATGCTGCCTTCTCTACCATTACAACTTGGAGAGCGAGAACCAGCACCCTAAATGACATTACTGGTTAGGAATAAGTTGAACTTACCAATGAGTGTTTGTCACTGTGCTGAGAAAGAGATCTTGCATGAGAACGGTCTGACCTTGAACGATGCGACGGACTCCTAGACTCTCTGTCGATGGAATTTTCCCTGGAGCGTCTGTGGGAATCGTGACGAGATTCCGACCGGTGTTCATCACTTGAATGAGACCTGTCGCGTCGATGTCTTGGGCTTCGGGATTCCCTTCTGCGATAGGAATCTCGGCTTCGCGATCTGTGGGAATGTCGGCGACTGTCAGATCGCGACCTGTAAGAACCTGATCGAGATCTCTGGCCTGGACGATCTTCATACACACGAAGCCTGCGCCCGTAAAGTTCATAACCATCAAACTTCTCAATCGCCTCCTTCATATCCGCATAAGCAGCAAACTCAACAATTCTAATAAGGTATATTAAGAAGAGTATACAACTTACCCATCATTCTTTGCCGATTTGTGAGCATCTGCATAGGTGACCTCCCCAGCCTTACGCATCAAATCTTTTAGATCCTAAACGAAAGAATAAACGGCTCAAAGACTTTTTCAACGAGTAGATCAGTTAACATGTTTAAAAACTACTAATTTGGGTTAAGCTAGCCTAGTACTTAAAAACGCGCGAGTAATTTACCTCGCGTTTTGATCTGACCACAGTACGAAACCGCGTTACCACACACTCGGCCGGACGACCGCTGGACGGCGCGACCAGAAACAACCCTGGGCGAATGACCATGGTACGGAAACGACCAATCCTACGCGTCCTACGCCACCCGAAACGACCGAACGTCAACGAGCGGTAACTGAATTCGAGATAACAGGCAATTAGTTACTTTTTTGGGGCTTACAAACAGTCAAACGACAATTTCTTACCTGCCAGCTTACACGCGATGACAGATTCTCAACAATAACGCGGTACTCCGTGCGAGTTGGTGGGCCGTACCTGCTGTGACAGATGAGGGAATCTGGACAAGGTAACTCACCGATCACGACCACTACCACCACCTCCTCCACCACCACCACCTCCACCAGCTCTTCTACTGCCACCTCTGGTGCCTGGTGGAAGACGGGCGTGTTCAACGATCAGACGCTCGCCCCTTAGATCTCTACCATGAAGGTCGTAAACAGCATCATCTGCATCCTTCTCATTGTCAAACTCGACGAATCCATATCCATTCTTTAGAACGATATCTCTCAACCTGCCATATCCTTTGAAGAACCGTTCGATATCCCTCTCAGTACATCTAGGAGGTATCCGACCAACGTACACTCTCGACATCTTGAACTTAACAGAGTGAGGCGGCCATCAAACGTTGATTCAAACAAACGGTTTAAACACTCAATGTTGATAGACTCTCTTTGCAGATTTTATTTCTTCAATTAACTATTGAATTATATTCATTCCTCACTACAATCAAATACTCCCGGAGGATTTCTGCTGAAAATGTAGTGTTGACAGACAATTTAGCCTTCCAAACGAATCACAAACATATTAGAAGGAATGATTGCTTAGCCTGCCACTACGCCTAAAGTCAGTGAAACTCTGGCTTTTTGCACATGAATCTGAGCGTTATGAGGCAAACGACCAAAAGTCAAGTTAGCAATAACCCGTTCTTTGGACTCGTGTTGAAACTGTAAGTAGATGAGGAGATGAAATGGCTTGAAATTACTGTATAATAACGGCACTCTGAACCTTGGAAGCTCTTGAGCATCGATAGTTCAATAAATGATCTGCCATATTCCAGTTCTGACTTTGGTCCGCCTCTTCTAAGAACGATATTCGACTCAAACTTTAAAATGTGTTGAGGTCAAACACTCGGATGTTGAGAGTGTTGTGGGCCATTACGGAGTCACTTGTGGGTTCCCTGTACCAATAGTGAACAAGTGTAGCACTACATGTTTTGCGTCCCACTCACCCAACTAATCAACCAAACCATCTCTAGACGTGCTGAAAATTGTCTGTCTGTTGACGCCTAGCGACCAGAGTTTTGAACAAGGTAGTATAAGGCCATCAAAACCCTTGTGGACACGCCTGTGGACGCATTGCCTGAACATGCTTTCCTAAGACATAAGTGCCAGACCAGCATGTAAGACGTCGCTGTTACAGTCAGCATAAGATATGCAGTGATGATAGAATAACATACTCAGGGGCTTCTGCAGTGGCGACGACTCCATCTCTGCCTATTCAGGCCTTGTGTGTGGCCAGCAAATTGCTGCTGAATAACTTCATTGGACTTATCACAATCCAATCTAGCTTCATCGTATGTCTAACGTTGGAAACTGCTCCGACCATTGTGTCGAAATAGCTTATATCATATCTCCTGTGGACACTGTCGTATCCTTATTAAGAAGAACGTTGGAGGAGGCATATGGTCGTCGTAGCTCAAGAAGGAGTCCTAGTTCTGAGCTCTAGAGGAACCCTGTCTCCAAATATGAGAGTGGACTAGAAAGCAGTGGGGTGATGGGAATGATGGTTGACTGGGAGGCATGATGTTCATCTCCTGCGTCCACTAGTGGTACTTTTCCATCCACCCACTGAAGTGGGCGTGCGTCAAAACTGTTTTCGTCTCGATAAGATATGGTTCCAGCTTCAGACGATTCCTAACCGAGCATCAATGAGGTCCTGGAACGGGGCGATAGTCCTCAGTTGCATTCCCGAAGTTGATCAGAGGTATCTTCAAACTTACTGACCGTCAAGTACTTCGATTTTCCTACGATCAAAGTAATTTGTAGGAAGACGTGTGGTTGCCTCTAAATGCTTATGATTAGCATGTAGGGAACAGCATTGACGGACGAATTTGACAAAAGCACATGCTCCTGGAAGTTCTCGCGGGATTGACTACAATTGCTCGCTACATATCCGTACACTCCCATAGCTTCTCCAGACTCAGTTAGGGAAACGAAGAAAATCCCAGTGTGACCAAAGACTTTCTGCAGGGGTTGGCAGTAGATAACCTCCTTGAGTTCACCAGATACAAAACGAAATACATGTACCGTTGTATGCAAACGATTGGACTGACACAGAAAGTTACTACAAGGGAAGCTCGAAGTTATAATGTAGGAAAATCACCAGAAGACCCCACTTAGCATACCAATGGATGACCTGTCACCTCGGTACTATTCAACAACACGAAACACAAAGGGTTGTAGCAACTAACACGTTGACACTCAAGAGGTCATCTACTGTGGCCAAATCTCACATCTTCTAAAGACTGTGAGAAACGGTTTAGTCATGAAGAGTATTGAGAGTAAGGCAATAACCAATCCGCATCACCACAGATTGCACAAAATATTGTAGGCACATCATGGGTGAGACTGCTGGCCACAACATTAGAGCATGGTGAGAGACGAACAGGCTTATGATCAGTGACACCCAATGAAGCGAGTTCCGACTGCTGAGACAGATAGGCACATGAACTACTCTGGTCAGATGCATAGTTGTGTACGCGAACTGAAGCTGGCAATTCGTAATTAGAGATGAACGCGAAATTTTTGAATTTTTGAGCTGGTTTACATCACCACATTTAATGTTTACTCAGGTGTAAATTATGAATTTTTTCCTTCGTTGGATTTTCTGTGCTTCTCAAATTTCGTTCGAGATTGTGCCACATTATCCATTCACGGTTTATCATTCATCTTTCATGTTATCATGTGCGAGAGGTCTCTTCTCACTGATATTCTTCACAAGAATCCTTTTTCGAAGTAGTGAATATTTCGTCTCAAACATTAGCCCTTTAATAAGGATAATGATAAGTTGTCTCGCGAATTTCTGTAGGGCCCAACGGTTAGAATCTTGATAAGATGCTGAACAGGCTTGTAGATGGTAGGAGCGAAAGCACTTTTTATTGATAATTTAGATCTGTACAACCCTTATTATTATAATATTTTCGTTGATGATCCAGACTAATGTTCAATTCTCGAGCTGTCAAAGAATGCATTTTGCTCTCCTACAGATCGGAGCGACTCACATTTGTGAACTCTACCATATCTGCTGATGAGCATGCAGCACCCTCCCTCCTTTTTGATGTTAAGCTCTGAGATTATTTTGCAATAACTATGGTTGCAGCATTACATTGCTTTGAGCCCGTCCCAATCATACAGTATGCTGGACACTAATAGCTTTCATGACAAGCGCTTCCCAGATACATCGGTACATGCATACATGTATACAAGTATTTGTTGCAAACGCCTGGGAAATTGAGTTTACTTTAAGAAGTATAAAGTAGAGAAGTAGCTAGTATTACAGCAACTAAGTTATGATCTATTTAGCAGAGTAAAATGGGTAGGAGAGCAATTAGTGATAAAATTATGTAGAATGATCCCGTAGAAAACAGCTGGTTAACAGAACTAGTAATGCTAATTTTTCATGACCGATTTTCATATGGTATGCACCAGATATTGTAAAGTAACTCTTCAACTTATGTTATGTTAAAAACACTGCGAAATTTTATAAAATTATACGTTTTAGAGAAGTTTATGAGAAAAGGTAGTTATTGACTGAGTAAAGTCATTTAGACACAAAAATAGCTTTGCATTAGTAACTGTATACATATATGTAAAATACAAAAAGGTGTGGTTACTAATATATTTGTTTCCAGAGTTGCTTATACCAACATAACTTAGTGAAGATTATAGAGAATATAAAATCGGTAAATTAGTTAAGCATTCGCTGCGTAAGTAGTAGAGTTATACGTGTGTAACTATACTGAAGACTCAACTGCCTTTCAATTACCGTTCTACCAACAGTTGTGGTCTTTTAGACGAGCTAGGGCAGACATGTTATTGTGTCTTTCTAGGCTCCGTTTGAACCCATCGGGGTTTTCGCAAAATATAATTTCAGATGGTAGTTGGTTCCAAACAGTGCTCTATTTAATGGGGAAAAAATTTTCCCTAATGGATTTTCTGTGGTTAGCCACCTTGACAAGGTAGTCGTGGTTTCGCAGCTGATATGATTTGATATTTGCCCACGTTATGAATGAGTCGCTGTAACAATCCTTCCTAATAACTTCGAAAAGTAGAAATAAGTTCCACTTCACTCTTCTTAACCATACGGGTTCTAATTTCAGTCGTATACACCTGTCAACATATTCCACTTGTTGGTCAAACCCTATTATGCTTTTCGTGAGGAATCTATGGACAATTGATTTTTTTCTGTCTGGAGACCTTAGTTCACTAAATAGGAGAGCACAATATTCAAGTTTGGGGAGGATACATGTCTTTTATATAGCTAATCTTGCTTCTTGGGTGTAAAAGTTACGCAGTACAAAGCCAGTATGTCGTTTACAGTCAGATACTACCTTATCTGCATGATCGGAAAAGGTTAAATCTGAGTATATTATCCCGAGATCTGTGACTGTTATCAGTTTTGAGAGGAGCTTGCCATACATATATAGGCACATTCTCAGTTTGCAGCGTCCAAGGTGAGCTATACCGCACTTGTCTGGGCTGAAAGTCAGTTGCCACTTTTCGCTCCGATCACCTACATTGTTTAAGTCATGCTGGATCTTGCTTTCGACGCTCATGTCATCGTACCCATAATCATATACTATCTTGAGATCATCTGAGAAGAGGCATAACTTGCCATATTTGATCACAGAGACTATGTCATTTATGAATAAGAGGAATAGAATAGGGTTATGAACGCTACCATATATTACACCACTAGTTATCGGCTTTGATGAAGACAGCTGTTAGTGGATTTTGACTAGCTGCTCTCTTTCTGTGAGAAAAGAGATTATCCATTTGAGAAGTTTTCCAGTTACTCCGCAGGGTTGTAGTTTTGTTAGGAGTCTTATATGTGAGACTTTATCGAAGGCCTTGCTAACGTCGAGGAATAATGTTGTTACTGAATGCCCACTATCAATGCATTGTGTAATGTAGTCAAAATAATCTATATGGCAGTAATGCCCGACCTTCTACTTAAAAAACCGTATTGAAACGGGTAAAGTAGGTCATTTGACTCCAAGTACCGAATGATTTGAGTCTTTACTATCTTTCCCATTGCACGTCAAACTACAGACGTGATGTTGATTGGGCGGTAGTTGTTGACATCAGCTATAGGCCCGTGTTTGCGGATAGGTGCAACATAAAACTTCTTCCAGCAGGTAACGTATGTCCCATCGCTTAGTGAAATTGAGTATAACTTGAGTAGGAGTAAATTCATGTCATTACCACCGTTTTTCAGCAAAGTGGAAGATATACCATCCGGACCAACAGTGTTACTAAGCTTAAGATTTGCGACAGATTTATCGATCTCGTGTGTGGTGAAAACTATGTCACTTAGACATTCGTCTGTTTTACGCGGGAAATCCACGACC